TAGTCCAAGCATCGTCCTTTCGACTGCGTGTTCAATAACGCTGAGTGATCTTTCATCCTGCTTACGCAGGGGCCAGGTTTCTGACGCATACGTTAGGGCTGAAAGTACCGTTGAGTCGAAAAGGTGGGCACGGAGTCGGGTGTTCTTTTTTTTCTTCATTAGATTCTTGATGCTCTTGAAGGCTCTCAAAGCCGCTCGTGTTCTTCTGCTCAGCTCTGGAGTTAGTAGGTCGCTCATCATATTGATTTCCCGACCTAGATAGATATAACTGGAGCATTTCGAGATATTCGTTCCGTTGAGCGTGAATGGGGCATGCGAAACCAATCAGTTCTTCATGAACATCGTTTTTGTGAGATTTAGTCGAAGCCCAATCTTTTCCCAGACTTTATCAAAGTCGTCAAGCATACGTTCCGCCTGGCTAGTGTTTGGTGTTATAAGGGCGATGTCATCAGCAAAACGAAGGTGGTGTAACTGCCGACCGTCGATTTTCACTCCCATGTTATCCCATTCCAATGTTCGCATGACGTTCTGGAGAGTGGTGGTAAATAATTTCGGCCAGTTGGTATCGCTTTGCCCAACTCCTGTTTTGACATCAATGTTAATATCGTTGTAGAATGGTGATATCTTGGTTGCGAAATTTTTGTACAGCTCACGAAGAATTTTTATATACTGAGTAGGGACTCCTTGACTATCAAGGGTTAACCAGACTGTTTCCATCTCAACTGAATCAAAGACCTTCAGTAAATCGATGAAAGTGAGACAGAGAGGTCTTTTGTACTCTCGCAATAATTCAATGAGCCGTGTTACCGGTTGGATGTGGTTCATCGTACTAAATCCTCTTCGAAACCCTGCTTGCTCACATGGCCATCCTTTGTATAGTGTTCTGTCAATCCTGTTTAGGATAACTCGAGTGAAAAGTTTGTAGACGACAGACAGTAAATAGACTGGACGATAGTTGCCGTTATGGTGCAGGTCACCCTTCTTGAACAATAACACGGTCATGCTGGTCTTCCACTGCCTAGGGACCTTGCATTCGGACAGGTAACGTGTGATGAGCCGAGCCAGTGTGTTTACGAGGACTGGCGGATGATTCTTCAGGTGTTCTGGTCTCATCCTCTCCGGACCTGGTGCTGTTCGATTTTTCACCGACGAAATGGCATGTCGGATTTTGGAAAGAAGAACCGGTGGTACAACATATCCATCCTCCTTGATTTCATATGACGGAAGGTGGACCTGACTATCGAAGAGATGCGAGTAGTGTTCGTGAATGATTTTCTCCATTGCTTTTCTGGGCGCTGCAACTGTTTAGCTTCGGTGGGCTTTGCGAATGCTTTTCCCTGCCTCTGCGGCTTTGACCATTACTGCTGCTCTTCTCTCTTTAATGTCTTCTTTTATCGCTTGTCTGCACTGTTTTGCAAGTGCGGACGTTAGTACGCGCTTGCCTGCAGCTCGTGCGATTCTACGCTGGCGTATCTGCTCGAGTATTTCTGGAGATATACGTCTCTTGATGACTTTCGAACTCTCAGCTTCCATAGCGCTAACGTGAAGATGTTGAATGAGCCGATCGTATTCTTCGTCGATATTATCGACAACGGCATCTTCTCAACAGCCGGCCAATGAATTCAATAAGTCCCAGTTTGTGGTGGTTCTGGGACTTCGGTTTTTGAATTTAGCGGCTTTTTCTCCTTTCGGCGAAAAATAGAATTTTGCACGAAGGAGACGATGTTCTGATCCCGTTTAGAGTTTTGAGACAACAGCGACGTCGGCTAGGTAAAACCTTCTATTTACTATGACATGGTCTATTTCGTTATTGTACTCTGAATTGAGAGGCTCCCACGTCCAGCGTTGAGGGTGAGGCTCCTGGAATTGCGAGTTACCATGGATGGTCTTGGACGTCATGATAAACCCAGAAAACCACTCGCCGTGCTCGTTCCATTCCAATTTGTGGGTCAGAATGTCACGTTCCTCAGACGTTTCTCTTGGTCCAATCTTGGCGTTGAAATCTCCAATCATGATCTTGAAGAATGTATGGTCTTCTCTATAGAACTTCTCCAAGTCCATATAGAACGCTTCGACTTCTTCTTCGTCATATTTGATGTGGGCGCGTAACCGACGAAGGTTGTCAAAGGCGGAATTGATCCAAGATTTTAAATCGTAGACGTCCGATTCGGGTTGTAAGTTGTTCGAGTGAATTGATGTTCATGGACAAACTCGTGTTGACGAGAATTCCGAAACCGCAGACTCTACCGCCGCATGTTCCGAGGAACAATTCTTCTCCGGAGTCATAGACGGGGTTGAAGAGCTGGCATCTTCTCGTCTCGGCGAAGCCGATGACGTGTAGCAAATTCTTCTTGCTTGCATGAGCAAATCTTCTATCGAGGACTCAGATGCAAGTGTGCGCTCGTTGTAGGTACAGATCGTCACCATAGTTCTTTGAAACCTAGGCAGCGTCCACTGGCTTTGAGATTTTAGCAGCCTCTCCGTACTCCTCCTACCCAACGCAGAGAAATTAGGGGCTCTTTCGGGGTCAGGGGAATGAAGGTCGATTTTTTTCCCACTGTGTTTAGCATTTTTTGATGCCCACGTATAGCTTGTTGGGTTCTGAGTGTGGGGGGCTAGGCATACTCACGGGTGGCTTTCCAGGCCCTCCCAGATTGGCCATGGAACTTATTTGTTGGAGGCGACTCCTAACCTCCTCTCATATACTTCCCTGTCACTTGATTACTGTCTCTTGGCCGAATTGACTCGTAGAATACAATCCGCATAAACTCGAACGCACCCACACACGCATGCTTGAATACGCTTAACAAATACAGAAAGTATGTGCCAAATCAGTGCAGCAGAAGCAGAGTGTTTATGCTCTGGGTCCACCTGTGTCTCAGCAAAGCAAAGGTCGCATTTGGTTCGCGATTAACCACCTAACCGCCACTATGGGCGCGCCACGTAGCCTTGCAACTAAGCGGCTCGAGATCCCTCATATGCGAGAGATCCGTGGCGCATAGGGCACAGAAACATAGAGATTTTGAAGTACAAGTCACTGTCTTCGGATAGCAATCCAAAGCATCAACGCTTGAACCTCTTGGGAATTTTCGGATTTTCTCCAAAAATTTAGAAATGTACAGGAAGACGAAGTGCCCTGTTATGACTCTTGAGCTCTTGTCGTAACTAATTCCAATTTTTTGATCTGAGAAAGGCACATTTGTGACCCATGTAAATATTTGTACGGCTGGCCTGCATCACACAAGCGTAAGAATTAGAAAGAACAATACGATAACTTAACCGTTTTATTTACTGCCTATTTTTTCTTAACGGCAGGATATACATTGCGAAATAGAACTTTGATGATGCTGAGATATTTGCAAAACTTCGGACCCCAGGTGTCTGCGGTGGAAACGAACGCGCTATTATCCTTTCCGGGGAGTAACGGGAAAAATACGATAGTTGTTTAGAAGAAACTATTTTTATGCCAATGAAAATTTAACTATTAAGTTGTGCCTACTGTGGTGATGAAAGTGTTTGGTCAAGTAGATTGTATGTTAATTTAGTTTCTCCGGACTCTGAAAAAGGGAATCCGTCCAAACATGAGCTATCGTGTATTAATAAGTGCTGAAATAACAACCTTGTATTTAGTCACTAAGAAAAACAGCAAATCAATGATGAATGAAGAGGTTGAAACAAGGTGTCTTGGGATTTGTCTTTTACTTCCTAAAACTCTAGAAAACTTGTGGATACTGAATTGAACCTCTGGAGAAACTTACTCAACTGTTCCATCTCAACTTCTCAGTTTGCTGAAGTAAACAGTATCTCAGTCCTATAGACTTGCTTTAAGAATTCAGGTGTATTTGACAACGAACTCCTGTTTCGATCTGCGGAATCGTCTCTGTCGCCGCCTCATTTCACCTGTATCCTTTTAATTACCGAATGACTAGAGATCGACACTGGCAGCCTCCAACGTTAGATACTCGACGGCTATCAAGTTACTAAGGTTGCCACGCTCAGGCCTAAATTTCCGAGCTTTCCTGGGATAATCATCTTTCTAGCATTGGCTCCGAATCGTCTCAAATTTGTCTCCCAGTCGAGTGATTTTAAGCTTTTGATCGTAACGATGTGCTTTACAATCATATACACGCATGCCTGGTTGAGACAATAGGAATTTTCACTTTTAGTATATGTTCAGGAATGGACGTAACCCTAATCCAATGCCGGGGTTAGTAGAAAATCGATCATGGGAACTACGGATTTTCTTAATATTCTTACCAGTACATTTATACACCTATCCGGCACAGAATAGAGAGAGAGGTGGCTCATTTCCCAAGTAAAAGTGCATCGCAAAGCATGTGCATGACTTTTTGTTTACATTCAACTCTATCCTCGCCAACTGAAGATATCCCACGTTGCTTCGAAATTAACTAGCTTGAAGTCTCTCTCTAAACGGGCACTATAGATTTTCTTCATGATTAGATTAACTAATTTTGGAAAATTAGTACCATATTCTAGGGAGACAAAAAAGCTGGCATTATGCATTGGTGAATCTCTGCAAATAAAAACAAATGAATAAGCGAAATATGTAGCACCTCGGCGATGTCTAATGAAGCTGAATGCACAGGGCATGCCTGAGTGTCTGAACGATGCCAAAAGCTCTACGACTCATATTAAAAATTCAAATGTCAGCCTAAAACGTTCCGTCCTTTATATCCCATCGAGTCCTCATTGTGACAGCTTTCTAGGTGTAGGTTTTGAAAATTGCTAACTTCTTAGATGAGTTCCAACAAAGAATTACCAGCATATGTAGATGGATCTTAGAAGCATTTTCTAACATCAACAGAGAATAATCTACTTACTAACAAGCTTTTGAAATCCGATGTAGCAAAAAAAAAAAGCCATTTCCTCACTTGGAAGGAACTCGAAAGAAATCACAGATGGCTGCTACAGAAAGATTTTTATGCATTATTTTACATAACGAAATTTGTTGCTGGAATTTTTTTCTGTTGGCACGACTTATGTGTGACCTCCTTTGGACAATACCATCACGCTGTTCGTCTGTTTTTTTCGACCGATCGTTGCGCGAGTTTGGAATTCCAATTACGGTGGTGGTGGGCGAGCGACGACGTAACACCGCCACTAGCGCCGTCGTCGTCACTGTCGTCGGCACCGTCGTCGTCGCCGTCACTGTCATTGTCGACGTCACCGCCGTCGTCACCACTACCGTCGCCGCAGTCGCGGCAACCGTGGCTGAGGTCGTGCTCAACCGAACGTCGCGCCCAGTCATTCATCCGTTAGTTCGCCGACCACCCGCTGTCGCGTTGTCGTCCTCTGTTTTTAGTTTGTACTACAGTCCAGTTCATCCAGTCTATCATTAGATTTTATACAGTGAATATAAAGGGTTATTGAAAAAGGAGGTTTGCATGCATAACAAAAATTTCCGCAAATTCATCCGTAAAATCGTTGTTAGCATGTTTCGTATGTCAATTGCTATCTTAGATCACTAGAAAGTACGAAAATTTTTTCTGGTGGTTGAACTCTCCTTGTGGAAATTTAGGTCTAAGAAGATTTAACTAATATGTTTACAATTGGTAGTCCTCAACACATTTCGCCCATTTTCTTAGAAACGTTGTCATCCTGGTAAGATAGAGTTCGTAGCACTTATTGATAAAGGAGGAAGGTTGAAGTCTAAATAAGGTAATGTCTCAATTTATTACTCGCTCTTACAATTACGAATTAATGCTTTATTAATCAATTTAACAGTGCAATGAGAATGAACTTTGAAATATGGTTGCGCCTTGTTGGGAGAGTTGACGTTTACCAGATTAGTGCTCCGGCAATTTGCAGAAGAACGTGCTATTTACTATTATTAGCCAACCAATAAGTTCGGTGATTAGGTAAAGTGCTTACATCGAAGCGGCCACAATCTGCTTATTAGCTTCTATTCATTGCACAGTGTTTTATTTCACTTGGACTGATTGATGTCATGTTATATCACAACAAATCGTCTGCAAGGCAACAGCATGAAATAAGCATCGACGCTGGATATCTTTTTCTTGAAAGTATCTCATTCGTGAACTTAGAAATGTGATCATTCCCTTGCAAAGAATGCACAAAGCTCCTCGGAGAGATATTCGCAATATTTTGCGCCTTTTCCAGTTCGTTTTCATTCATCGTGACTAGAAATTTATTGCAGATTCGTTAATCCTTTTCTTACAAGTAACGCACTGTTTCGAAATTTCCATCCGATCTTCCTTGGATCTGTGGTGTTCGTACACGGTAATTTATCGTCCACTATTTTTCGCCCCAGAAGATGTAGTTTTGGTTGAAAGGAGCCTTTTAGAACTTTATTTACTGTCAAGTACTACCTCGAACTTACCAGTTTTTTAGATCGCCTACACTGTTTACCCTATCGTCATGGTGAAGCTCAAATAGTGTAGAAAGATTCCTCGGAGTGTCGATGACCTCTTGGTTCATCAATAAATATGTTGTTTTCCGAATAACTGTACTTTCATAGTGCACGAGACGTTTAGACTGTCTTTGATTATTGCAGTAGTTCTACTCAAGGGTATAATCACTCTGAGTTTCATTTGGACAATCCGGAAATGATTTTCTTTCCACCGCTGTCCATCGCATCACTTCGAAAGACTTTGTAGAAAACTGTCCTTTCTCCTGAGTATATTTCTGCAGCACTGACTTCCGTTCTCACTTTAATTCCATAGTGGTTGTGGCGTGGCCGATTGTGTGAGGCACCATTAATTTCTCTATTTATAAAATCCCTTTTACTTTGGATTTTTGGCGAATTCCTTTCATTGGTGGGATTTTGAGTCTGTTATTCGTTAAGTTACGCTGCTCCTCATCAGGTGGCTTATACCAGGTTGGAAGTTGATCAAATGCGAACGCGTATTTACCCTTGAATAGCAAGTGATGTTGACGGAACGCAGAATGATATTGAGGTTTCTGCAGGACCAGCTTGATTTACATCTTCCGCATTCACATAATCCAACTAATGCACGTGGGCATGAATATGCTTGCGTGTAGATGTATTGAATTCTGCACATCTAATCGGCGAAAATCCGGTAACCAAGGCCGCCTTGAACCAAAAATCATCTTCGCTTTGGAGCAACATGTTTGCCACCGGTATAATTTCTCTTTGATGGCAACGATCAAAGAGCTATATGTGGTGAATTTCTCTTCAAAATTGGCAAAAAATGAGGAATTCATTCAAAAGTGCGATGTTTTTCGTGTCCTTCGAGTTAAAGGCGACTATTTGGTCAACTGTCACGTGTCATAAGGACAATTAGAGATTTTGCTGGTGTCGGCCAGGGTTGTTACTCGATGTAAAAGATACAAGTGGTATAGAGTATGCTTCGTTTCTCAGTTAGAGTTAATTAAATCTGACTATTATGTGTGTGCTGGGAATACTTTCAAATAATATTTATGTAGACTAGGTGGATTTCAATTGAGAAAACGTGAATTTGGGGGCTTGAAAGTATTACTGCTAACTAAAGAGCAGCACCACGAGAATGGGCGTTGATATTCGCCCAAATGTTGTTGAAATATCTTTAAAAAAATAACTCAGGTTTACAGTAGACGAAAACGTCGAAACGTTAACCGAATAAGTGCTTTTAAATCAACCTTGTGCCAGCTGGTTAAACAAAGGTACTAGGTGTCGAAGTATATTCTTAAATATTTAGACTAAGACGAAGACGTGTCAACCGTTCATCGCCGCAAACTACAACTTTAATAGGGGAGTGAAACTAAATCCATGAGTCAGCGACCAATCGAAGCATGCAAGTCTGATCAAATAAACCATCCCTTGCCTTCATACCAATTTTCTTCACGACCTTCTCCTTCGTGGCTTTTTTCCTGCCTTTGCAAAAACTTTACCGATTCGGCTAACTGCTGAGTCAGACGTTGTTTGCATTCCTTTTGAAAAAAAAAGAAAAACTGGATCGTGGCTGAGGAAGTAAAAAGCATCTCGTTGATCTAATTCTTCGCATTTCATTACTTTTTTCAGCTGTAAATACCTTTCTCATACTAGTTTGAAGAATAGTTTTCTAATAAAGAATTAATATACCAGAATAAAGAGACATTCGTCTGTTGAACACATGAACACACACGAAGGCATTTTGGTTAGAAGTTCATACTTTTGTCTGATTTTGTTTGTGAAGTCCAGATTTCTATAATCGGCTGCAAAATATGAAATGCTCATTGAAGAAATTTATAATATGGGTTTGTTTTCGTCGAAATAGAAAAAGAAAACACCACCGGTTTGTGTTTGATAGCCATCGGTTCCACTGTGTTGATTGCAATGTTGATTCATAAACATTCTACCACAGAAGAAAAAGCTGAAACGTTTGGTGTTCATGAACGTTTCCAGGTATTTGGACTCGAAATGATTGCGAGCTTTTTTTCGAGCTCAAAGGACGAGAAATCAAATGAATCTGTTCAAGTTACGGTGGCACTTTGGAATTGTATGCTAATGGTTGTTCAACAAATTCGAATTCATAGCCCAAAAAAAAACCCAATTCTTCTGCTGATAACTATGAACTAGTTCTTGGAACATTTTGTATGAAACTGTCAATTTGCTGATTCTCATTTTCCCGTCATTTCATTTTTTATTATTATTTTAATTTTTTTAGCTTCTCTACAGCGATGCATGCAACGATTTCCATCAACGAACAATCTGAAACAGACTAACATTGATTTTTTGAAACCCTCGTAAAATTTCCGAAATTTCTCTGCGATCGCAAGTAAAAGAATGAATTTTTTCCATTATTTATCACCTTTACTCCACCATGGATCATTAGTTGACTCGTTCAGCTACTAGTAAGCTTTTTCGCACGTAGCAGCATTACTCAATGGATTCCACTCATACACTTAGGAAGAAGATAGCCGCAAATAGCTGGCCCGTCTCGGACGTCTCACAGGATCACCTTGCTTAGAGGAACTTGCTGGAGAACATCATATTGTATAACGCAGTTCGACATCCAGTAGCATACTTCGCCCACGATATGACGATAAACCACTGGAGAACCACTAGTATTCCTAAGATGGTTTAAATGGTGCTAAATATTTTGCTTTCCGGTATCCACGAACGTGATACCACCTGGCAAGAAATTTGAATAGTTTTGGAAAAGTCACAAAGCGCCATTTATTACTAAGTTTTCGGTTTTTTTCTAAATTTTAGCTATGCTGGTTTCGAATATTGTTTGGTAGAGAGCCGCTAACTTTCAGTAATTGGTGACTTTTGTTGGTCATTATGAAATAATTCATTTCGTATAAAAACATTTCATTTCTCTATTTCTTTTCATTTCTTTAGACTGAACAATGTTCTCTTCAAGGTTTCCATGTTAGGGTTGTGTTCATCTTAATTCGTTCTGACAAATTGTTCTCTTCTGACCAAGTTTTCGGATACGAGGGCACAGTCTTCGCACTTGTTCATTGATCTGTCACGTCATATCTGTGTTATACTCATCGATTGAGGCAATGAACTCGTGAGTTGTAGTGATCGTATGCGAATGAGTTACTGAACGACTTAACATCTTATGCCTCATAGAAATAGGAAGTCACTACGAATAAATAGCCTAAATGAGATAAATGAGTTAGCGGTGTGAAGAGAAAGGTAGAACCACGACCAGTCGTCTCATTATTGGCGACTCCTTAGTCTGCGCTCCCTATACCCTTTCTTGTCGCTTGATCTACTGTGGTACTCACATGTCTAAAAACTGTGCCTTCGATGAAAACCATCCAGAACTGGAAACGATGGCAATTGCATCGCATTGCGTAATATCCGCTGCACATGCATTCCAAGAGATATTCTTTGAGGCGATATACGTTCTCATTTCTGCGATCTAGTTTAGGAATGTGTTTTTCACAGTTTGTGTCCCGGTTTCCGAGTATATGCGCGGAGATGCACGCCACCCGCCGATCATCACCTCCGACGTCCGTCTGCGCGTAACTCGTTCTGTACTGCGTCTACGACCTGCTGTGTGATTTTGCGGTACATTTTCTCATATTCGTCCGTTAAATTCATAATCTTACAGTACTAATTTTCTCTTAGCGCATTAACAAGTAACCGTAGATTGTGCTGTACCTCTTGTATATCGTCCACGGACTCACTACGAAATTTGTGCGGAATCATCGTCTTGCCGACAGAAATAGGTGAAGAATAGCACGCATGCTCGTCTGTATAGACACTTTTCGTCTTTTTTCTTCTTCTTTGCTTTTTTTCTTCTTCTTGTTGAGAAAAACTTCCGTCTTCTTTTCTTCGACTGTCTGTACTCAGCTGCAATTTTTTTCACGATGTTCCATAATCAGCTATGATGGTCTTGCTGCCCTGTGCCGTTTTACCAAGGGTTTTTTTTCTTATAGA